GTCGCTTAAGTTTCGTCGGAACGAAGTTACGGAAAATTAATTAACACACGGAGACGTAACAGTATTTTAGATTTATTGTTAACTTCTAATATAGAAATTATTGACCAGGTGGAGACTGGGAAACATTGGAATGCAAATAATCATTGCTGAATTAGGTTTGATGTTTTAATACATATGGAGATTTTGATAATAATTTTTTAATAATGAGATTTTGTTACAAATTTCTAAGGGATGTGACAAGAATCATCTCTTGTGAATTTGGCAACTGAGTTAATTAAAGATACTGGCCAAATGTGTAAAAAAATCTGAAAAATAAATTTTCAAATATTCAAGATAGATGTGTTTGGATGGCTGCAGGTAAGAAAACAAGTTGGCTCAAAGAAGGGTATAAAAGATAAAATTAAAAGAAAAACAGTTTATATTTAGGACTCTTAAAAGTGACTGCTCTGGAGGAAGATTAAGAGAATTATAAAAGATCAAGGGTGTTGGTCAAACAGGTAATTGGGAAATATAACAGATATACGAAAAAAGATTGACTGAAAATGTAAAAATATTAAGGAATTCTTTAAACACATCAACAGGGAGCACAATGTTAGGATGACAGTAGAACCTTTGAGGGATGATACAGGAAGGCACATATCTGATGAATATGAGATAGCTGGCTTGTTTAATATTATGGTAACAAAAAAAATGGCAGGATATGGGTACTCTTCAGCAAAGACAGTTTAACTTATCTAACGGGGTGGTTGGCTCTTGAAATTGATTGCTTCAAATGGGATGGAGGAAATAAATCTAAGAGAGTTTACGGGAGGGCTTGATAAATATTTGGATGATAAGGGCTGGCTTTGTGCTTCTCCAAGATCAGGCTGCATCAATTGTATGGTCAGGTCATTCTCATACACTCACTGGTTAGCTGGTCAGAAACACACTTGACAAGCTAATTTTGTTTGAACACCGGTAGAGTTTTAATGGTAATTACATGTAATTGTATTGACCCAGAAACTCATTTCTACTCACAAGGTTATTTATATAGGCCTTTTTAAAAACTATTATGTGTATGCCGTGTTAACGTAAAATGAAGTTTGTTTTCCTATGATTATTTCAGAGTTTTTTTGTTTTTTTGTAGTTTAAATATACTGTTACGTCTCCGTTTGTTAATTGATTTTTCCGTAACTTCGTTCCGTACGAAATTTTAACGAC